CTGCTGTCGGTGAGTCTAGTCTGTTCATGCCACGTCAAGTCTGTTCATGTCAAGTCTGTTCATGCCTCGTCAAGTCTGTGTATCTTGTTTGGATATTGTTTGGATCACTCTGTAAATAAACTGCACTTGGGTTCTCACTTCAACTCGCCTTCAGTGGACTGAATTCGTTACACATATAAATATTGAGATATATCCCCTAAATTTAATTGTGCATAAATATTTGTGCACATTTCCAATTGTGCAAGGGGTACATAAATAATTCTGTACATGCACTTACACAAGAAATGTTATTTCCGGTTCTTTATTAAAGGGTTGAAAAGTTAATGTGGCATTCAATCATTTTGCAGCAGAAGTGCATTAGATTATGTTACTGTAATTGACTTTTTAATGAATAATGAAGAGGTTAAAGAGGTTACAGGAAGAGGAATAATCATATTTTGTCTTTACAATTTTTTTTTTTTTTTTACATTTTTATAATGAAGCCAATTTGGGATCAGTGTTATTTTAGTATCAATGAGATATAGTTTTTGTTAATATTTTGAATTATATTTTATTTGTATATTTTGTGTTTGTTTTTTTACAAACAAACACACAAAAAAATATGCTTATATATTTTTTCATTTATTTATATTATAATAAAAGATATTATAAAATATGTTTTCTGTATTTTATTTACTTTAGTTAAAATTTATGGTAACACTTTATTTTAAGGTGTCCTTGTTACACGTTACATGTACTTACTATTATAATAACAATTAAGTATGCATAATTAAATGCAAGTAACCCTAAACCAAACCCAAATCCTAACCCTAACCATATAGTAAGTACATGTAGTTAATTAATATTACTCAGTACTTATATGTATAATTACACTGTAACAAGAGCACCTTAAAATAAAGTGTAACCAAATTTATTTTATTTCAAGTAACAAAAATGTTATAATAGTTTTAGTTTTAGTTAGCTATAATAACCCTGGTTGGGAGTTTTGATATAAATCCACAGAATCTCATGCTCTCTTTATCTACATTTACATTAATAAATTATATATTCTGGGAATGATTTGCAACGCACATTTACATAGACTCGTAGTACCTTACTTCCATGAGGGGGTGACAAATCTTCCCTTTCATTATAAGACTGGGCCAAATATCCTTTAATATAAAACATCATTAGACGCGCATACATACACAACTCAGTCAGATCTCCGAGAAAGCGGACACTCTCGAAGAGTTCATGAAGAGATGTTACACTGTGAATGTCTTTAGAGCGCGTTGACACGGACGTGGACTGTATTTTCGGGGTTGCGCTGGTCGGATCATAAGGCAGATTCAGGGGAGGGACGCCAGCAGCAGCAGCTCCCGGTCTCATTGCTCACACACAGGGAAAAGACACAGGGCTGACACTGATGGTGCTGCGCCTCTGAGAGAGAGAAAAAAAACCTTCACCTGGGAGAATTCACCTGAAATTTGAGGGAAACCGCATTGGAACACTATGGAGTGAGTATAGCAGCTATTCTTGATTTAGTGGGCAGGTCAGTGTGCCGCTGGCCCTTATAATGAGTGAACTGTGCCACACCTGCAAAACATCCCGAGCTCTGCTCTTCTCTTGCAGTTCATATACCGAGAGTGCGTTGCCTACCTATAGCACATTAAAACGGTGCTTTTTTAAATAAGGCTGTGTTTTTCATTTAATTTTTTTTTTTTAAACGCATATCGTTTCTATATTTTACCATGGTGTAATCGGTACAGCGGATAACGGTATGACACCCAGCGGTGAGCAGCATCCAGCACACATGCGCTCTATATCCCATTGCTGACAGAAATAGGTTTCTCCTTCATGGCTTTGACACTCTGTGCAGTTGTTAACATGCCTAATTTAGAAACAGCTTGTCTCTTTTTTAATATTTGACGTACTTAAAATGCCATTCATCTAATATGCGTGTCTCTGTACAGTATGTCTGTCGCGTACTGTATTGAACCACGACTGCGATTTGGAAATAGGCAAGAGGCCGCTAGTCAGTAGTGCAGATATTGAGCACTACAGCATGATGTGTGACTACAGAAGTAAGTAATATCGAGTAACTTACGTTTAAGACAGAAATCCGCCCTTTTTATAGCCTATTTCATCTCCGACAACTAAAAACTGACCGAAAAAAAGCCAAAACAGTAGCTTTGCTTGTAAACAAGCAATTAGCGCAGAATAGAATCCGGTCTGGAGCACTGCATCAGAATGGAATGGACTTTATTTCTTCAAAACGCATCACTTTTCTCGAACTTCCCTTTGGGTTTTATATTTCCTGCTCCATGCACACTAGTAAGAGAAACCCCGCTATTCACCTTTTTAAAGTATTAGTTCACTTCCAGAATAAAAATGTCCTTACTCACCCCCATGTTATCCAAGATGTTCATGTCTTTCTGCCTTCAGTCGCAAAGAAATTAAGGTTTTTGAGGAAAACATGCCAGGATTTTTCTCCATATAATGGACTTAAATGGTGGCCAACGGGTTGAAGGTCCAAATTGCAGTTTCAATGCAGCTTCAAAGCAAGAGGGTCTGGCTGCAGACTTGCGCTTGCACTCTCAGACTTGCACTCTCAGAC